TTGGGATTGTTTGCCTTTGCCCTACCAGAAGAATCCACAAAGGATGAGAAATTTTGCTCAGTTTCTTACTTTCAGTGCCATCCTCCCCTCCAAAGGGGAGCTGGGAGCCAGTCAGGGTGTTGACTCCTTCCTGGCCTTTCAGGACAGACGTGTCAGGGGTGGCTTCCTTCTCGGCAGGACGTGCTTGGAGCCCAGCTATAGCAAATCAGCCCCAGCTGCACTGGGACAGTGACTTTTCCCTTTGCCTGAAGTTGTGCTGCAGCTCTCCCTCTCTCCAGCAGCAGAGCAGAGGCGAATTTCAGCTTGGGGTGAGCATCAGAGGCACCTTGAGCAGCTGCTTGGGCAAACCTGTGTAAGGCAGAAGGCTAAAGCTGCACCCACGAGGGAGGGGAGAACTCCCACGGTCTCTGCTGATCCGTGGCTCAAGGCAATGGCCAGGCTGCAAGGGTGGGAAATGGCGCTTTTGTAAACTCACACCTGCAGGGAGAGATGGAGCGCTTTGTTGGGGGAGAGGGTGAAGAGAGGGGTGGATTTGGCATCCCTCCTCTGAGATGAGGGTGGGAGAGGACACCAGGAGGCCATGTCACTGTCATAGGGCCTCTTGCTGTGCTCGCCTTCAATTAAATCTTTCTTCCCACAGTATGAGGTAGTATCGCCTAGCAGGGTTATTTCACAAGCTTGATAGCTACTAGAAACTGATCTTTTCTGAAAGTCTGAGACCAGACCTCTTATATTATCACTCACAGCCCATGAACAAGCCCTTCAGTCCCTGTGGGCCCAGGGTGACCATCAGTCAGTCTGGGGATCAGAAGGTGACAGCCATGCCAGCCCACTCACTTGCTGCACAGCTGGCACATGCAAGGAGCACTGGTGGAGCACCTTGCCCCACCCCCAGCTCAGCTCTGCTCCTGCCTCTTGCCCGTAGCACACTCCATGGAGGACTACAGTTTGAAAGAAAGCCCAGCGTTTCGTAAGCCTTTTTCAAGTTTTCAGCATGGCTGAGGATCCCCTATCTGTCAGAATGGAGAAAGGAGCTGATGGGCAATGCAGTCCCAGCTGGGGTTTATCTCTGCATCACAGCTGGAAGATTTGTGTCAGAATAAGGATGAAATGGGTAGTCTTTTCCCCCTTGGCATCATTTTGGCAAGTATTCCAGAAAGACATTTCAACAAGCCATGGTCTCCTACTTGACCTTTTACAGACTGAAAGTTTTACTTTAGAAATGAAATTATCTAACTGGCTTCAGCAATGCCTGTGCCAGAAGCAAGAGGGTCTCCCTTTGGACCAGCTAATGCCTGTCTGAAATACGAGCAGGGCTTGTATACTTTGCTAGAAAGGCCGAGTTTGGGCAGCAAGTGCTGCTGATGTCATGCAGATTAAGACTGGGATAGAAGATTTGTATCTTCTATAAACCACCAACCATTGCTCTTTTGGGTGCCTGCTCAGACTGTACAACTGGCGAGCACTGCAGGACCACAGCATGACTACGGACCTGCTTGGATCGTGGGGCTGCACTTCTCTCCCATTCCTTCAGTGTTGGCTCTACAGCACATCCCCAAGCAAAACTGATCCATGCTAACACCCAGGCAGCATAAGCTGTGTCTCCCAAACTGGGGAGGACAAGCCAGTGTCCATACAGAGCACAGCTCAGCAAGTCAGCCCTCTCATCTCATCCTCCTCAAGAAGAATGGAGAAAAACACTTCATCTTGTGTGACTCACTGGTAGATGTGTCTATGAAAGAAGAACCAAGAAAGGTTGCAGTATTGCCAGCACCAAGCACTTCCTGTTATTTCTTAGGTCTAACTGTCAGCTCATTTTCCAGAACTGAAACATCCTCTGCAGCATAAAAACATGAGATTTGAGCACTCCACGACACACATTCAGAAAAATTGCTGCCCTTTCAAGTAGGAACCAAGTAGAATTCAGGATCATACTGGTATCATCCATTCCAGCACATCAGAACATGAGACATCGCAAAAGCAGTGGCAACTATCAAAAAAGAGGCGTCAATCAAAAAAGAGGCATCAATCAAAAATAAGTATTGCCCTGATGAGACTCCCATTGCATAGGGGTACTCAGTGCTTGTAGTATTTCCTTGTCAGCCTGACAGAGGACTATGTTTTGGTGCAAATCCACTCAACAGGGCTAAATTCAACTCTTTTTACTTAGCTTTGAGCCTTTCAGTGCCTGAGAGGGAAACACTTAGCTGAAAAGAGTCTAGTGACCCAGAAGAGACGTCGGTGGGTTGGCTGAAGCTGAGGGTGCCTCTCTCTCAGTCCATGGTTACAGCAACCACATGGAGGGCAGCATTAAAATACGCACCTCCACACTTCACCCCTGCCCACTGGTGTGGCCTCTGGCCTGCCCTGTATTCAGGATGCTTGCTGGCAGCACCACTCCCCAGGAAGGGGAACCAAGGGGAGCTTTTTGGCTGTGCTCAGCCCTCATATGCCTTAAGCTGAGACAACAGAGTTTTCCACAGTTCACAGGGTGGTCTTGAGGGTGGGTTTGGACCCAGTTTGTGACTGACAGTAGAAAAGCTTCTTGCCTCCCATTCCTATCCTGGCCATGACTGTACTGCAGTTCCTTGCCAGAAGAGTGAGCACACCCCTATGCCAGACCAGAGTCACCTTGGCACCACCTCATGCACACACCGGTGTCCCCCTGCAAGGTCCTGTGGCAAGTGTCACCCCACCAGCACCAGCCCCAGGCAGAGGAGGGCAGCAGCTGTGGGGAAGCCCAGGAGAGTCTCTCAGAGATGTGACAGAAGCTCACCAAGCCTCTGCGGTGGGGAAGGACCATCTCCAAAGCATAAGCTCGAGGCACAAAGAACACTATTCAATGGCAGGGAGTCCCAGGAGGAGACCGCCTTCCTCCTCAGGTCCCAGTAACCCTCCCTCTCTCCTGGGAAGGACCAGTGCTGCCATAACCACAGAGGAGTCCCAGCTAGGCTGGACAAGGCACTGATAAAGCTCTGGCCACACAGGACAGGCAGAGCACGCTGCCACAGTGGGCAGGCAGGCACAGTGGTTGTTCTCACTCATGCTGACCCAAGCCCACTAGCTGCCAGCACACAGGTGGCAGCCGGTACCTTCTGTGTAAAACCTCTCCTGGAAACCTTCTGCACCCGTTTCCAGGGTTCAGGGACCAAAACATTTTTCTTTTCTCCTTTGTACCAAAGTGAGCTTCAGAACCTGAAGTGCCAACACAGGTGTGAACTAAATCCTCTCCACCCACTCTTATCTTTATTCATTCACTGCAGGGGTAATGGTCTATGTTACATAATAAACCATGAAATGTTTACCAAATGCAACTTTAAATAGTGAAAGCCCTAAAACAAGCTGCAGAAAGCTATGGCAAGAGCAAGTGACACTCCCAGGGCTGTGTCCACCATCGAAGGTCAAGGAAAGTGACTGAGCTCTGGAGAAGGCAGAGACCTCCTTCTTCCTGACAAGTTACTTCCCTGCCCTTGTACCAGAAAATAAAAATATTCACACTTCTGAGGAGAAACAAAGGATGGCTGTTTCACCTCCCCTGGCTTGTGTAGGATAGTCAAGCCTGACAGGTACTACACAGTCTGCCTAATGCAACAACATGCTAGCTGGATATCTCATGCTCTGTGGCTCTCGCAGCTCCCGTCTCCTCCTCCACATGGGCTGCCTCTTACATCAGATGGGCCAGTGTACCCCTTCAGACATTGCTCTAAAAAGGTCTGTCCTCTCTCAGCTCATCAGCTGTCCCGTAGAGGCAGTTATGAACATCTCCAGGGACCAGAGGAGCAATCAGTGTTTGTCCAGCACGTGGAGGGTGATGCAGGTGCAGTTATTGCAGTCCAGCCTCTTCTCCCTTTGGGAGGGAGATCTCTCAGATGTTCTCTGTCATCACCTGGTTATACATGAGGTACTTACCAGCAAGATCGAGGGACATGGTCCCTTACTATCAGCAGGAGGCCCTATGATGAAAAGCCATGACAATTCAGACAATGCCACCAGTAATCAGACTGCCTGGCAGTTTGTAACACTTGTTTCATAAGCCAGTGGATACCAGAGCTGTTCTATGATAGAAAAAAATTTGTCTGGATAGCCAGCAGACCTATGCTGAGAATAAAGTTTCATTTTTTTTTGCCAGCATGGAGTCACAGAAAACTGAGCTGAAACGGTCCTTGGAGAGGCCTTGTAGCACATTCCCCTAGTCCTCAACAGGATGAGGCTGCCTCACAGATGGTTGTCTCATTCGCCCTTTGAAACCCCCGGTGCTGGAGATCCTGTCCCGGAAGTCTATTTCAGTGCTTCGTTTGCAAAAAAGAAAAAAAATCCTGACCTATCTCTCCCTTGCTGCAATTTAAGCCTGTGGTTTCTTGTTCCAAACACGGTAAAAGTGAAAAGTTTACTCCTTTCCTACTTGCATTTTTCCCACACACATGCTTCAAGGCTTTCACATCTCCTTTCAGTATTTTCTTCTCTACATTAGAAGACACCAATTCTTTCAACTTCAGACAAGTATTTAATTACATACAACTATTTTTTTGATCCAGGAGGTCCTGCATTTGATGCTAAAGCCAGAGGGCTGTCCTAATGTGTGTCAGGAGAAAGGAAAGATGTGTGAGAAAACCCTGTAAGATCCTTAGGCCCATGTTGTCTTACTAGAGTTTTAGCTTCATCTTGATATAATCCATCCAAAATGCAGGAAGACAAGAAGGTGCAGTTAAGACAAGTGAACCACAGAAAGACACAGGTTTCAAGGCTCAGTGCTCCATACCCTAACATGTAGACACTTGAAGAAAAATGATCACAGGGATGAATGCTCATCACCTTGAATCTCCTCCACTGGGTCTCTTCATCTCCATTCGATGCTCTCTCTAATTTTCTGGAACAAAAGCTGCCATTTCATAGCTGAGCGTTACGCAAGCCTGGGCAGGAGGGGTTCCTGACTATTGGAAACTTTATTTTCCCAGTGAATGGTGGAGCTGAGAGACCACCATCCCTCCCAGGGCAGATGTTCAAGGTCTTTCTCTCGGGTGGTTTGGAGTCCGCTGCTGGGTGCGGGGCCTGGGCCGTGGGGGCAGTGCTTGCTGCTGCACATGGGGCTGTGGCAGCGGCCGCTGCTGTACCCGCAGCTGCTTCGGGGTAGGGTTGCACGGCGGCTGAGGGAGCTCCCGCACCACCATTTCACTCTCCACCCGGCGAGCCTGCGCTGTTCGGTCCTTGTCTGCAACAACAGAAGGGCCCAGCAATCAGGCACATACTCAAAGTCTACGCAGAATTCAAACAGCCAGTGACAAGCGCTTGGCCCAAGCAAGAAAAAGCCAAATATTGGTCTTACCTGGAAGGACACTGTCACTCTCAGGGGTTCCTGCTACTCCAGTGGAACAACCAAAATCACCTCTGCCCGTGCACCCCAGGCAAACCTGAAAGCTTTTTGGCTGCCTGGCTGAGGTTGAGGTACCAGGGGGTGTTAGGGGCAGCTCTGCCCAATCTGTGTTCGGGGAACCAACTTTGCTGGGGAGGCCCCAGCAGTCCAATGGACACCCCCAGCCTGAACTGCTCCATCCGCTTTTGTAAATGGGCCACCGAAGGGACAGTGAGATGGAACCCCAGGAAGCAACATCAAAGCAGTCTCCCCTGCCACTATTTCTTTTGGGATTTCCAGACACCTCAATGACAGACATCTATTTTGTCAGCATTAATTTCCCCACACGTAGAAGTAAATTCATGCCAGATGACTTCTGATCACTGACTCATCATTTCTGAAATAGCTTAGTTTAGGGATGGAGGGATTTACCTCTTGGGAAACTGAAATGGCCTTAAGCACACACCAAACTGTTTCAAAGAGGCTAGTCACTCTCTTAAATTAGTTCTCATTTTACTAGACTTCTCTTTTTCTTAATTCTAGCTGAATCCAGACCCAAGAACTGAGGATATGCTATCACTCCACAGTTGAGGGAGTAATGCATTGCACTCAAACAAGAACAGCCATAATGGAAAATAACACTCAGATGGCTATGCTCTCACCAACATTGTGCTCACATGCTGTGGCAAGCCTTCTGAGATGACTGAAGGCCAGACAACACTTCTTGAGTGGCAGCTCAGTATTTTCTGTCCATCCAAACTAGCAGCAATGCCTGGGTTGTAATTCAAGGCAACCTCTCCATCAAGATTCAGAGAAGACTCTGGCAGAATATTTCCCGTAGTCTTAAAGAGGCATGAATTTTGGACAACAGATAAAGTTTCTGCCCACTCTGAAGACCTCAGCTCTTTAAAGTGCTCCGAGCTGGACCTCCAGTGTTGACAGGCCTTCAAGAACATTGTTTTGTAGAGAGGACAAGTTCTGTGACATGCCTGAGGGAACTCACAGAAAAGCTGAGCTCTTCTTGCCCCTTCTCACTATCTACAATGTTTCCAAATTTGACTAATGATTTCAAGGATCCTAATTTTACACCATAGAAATCTAATGAAAAAAATCTACTGACAGGATATCTGGTTGTATATTTTAGCCCCACAGATGCTCATGCCTGGTGGCTTTGGCCGAGCTTTAGAGGAGCAATTCTTCCCCTATGTATAAACAAAAGGGCTTGAGGACAAGAATTCTTTTGTTCAAATCATATATCAGAAACCAAGACTGGCAATGCCCGCCAATCTGACAAGATTCGGCACCATATGCCAAAACCAGTTTCTTGCTCATGCCAAGGCAGAGAGCATGCTTGTGCCCACAGGCGTGCTGTCAGAGGGAAGCTCGAAGATTTTGGGTGACTGGATAGCAACATAAAGCCCCTTAAACACTTACCATCATCTTCAAGCCTTTCCGCTTTCTTCTTCCTGATACAATAAATAAGCAAAATCACAAAGATGATAAAGAAGACTGCACCTCCTGCTATGCTCAAGATGAGATAAAGGTCCAGCCGGCCTAGTTAAGGGAATGAAAGAGGATGTTAGAGGGAAAGAAATAACTTGCACAATGTCTACCTAGAATTCTGTATTTTCTTCCTTTGACTGTAAAGGCAGCTCCAGTGAGAGAGCCCACCCTTTGCCTTTTCTCTGAACACAGCAGAAAGTTGCTGGTCCTCATCGTGGAGAATTTTGATTGCTCCCTGATGGATTCAAGTTCTGCAGAAGATTGAAACCAGAACATTCATGTGTGCCAACTCACCTTATTTAAATTACCACAAATGCCCTGTTCCTGCTAGCAATGGACCCTTTTAAGGACAACAAGCATCCAGGCAGTGCTCAGCATCTAACAAAAATAAACTTTTAAAGTACTTCCTACTAAGCTGAAAACACCGAGACTAACTTGCTTCATAGTATTTCAGTACTTCCTCTTCAATTTTTGGCTGTACGCAAATTTAAAAAACAATGAAAAGGAAAAGAACATAACCAAATGTCCCACAGTCTCAAAATGAGAATTCAGTTTGCCCAGTGAGCAGAAATTTATATGAGTGTTCCTTATTTTCACCAGATAAGGTTTGTTGGATGCTGGCCTTCCTTCACCACCTCTTGCTTGGACTGTCCTCCTGGTGTTCAGTGTTCGTGCTTGAGCACGGGCACCGGGGAGCTGAACCCAGCAGAAGTGCACCTTCCTTGGCATCTCAGGGGACAAAGCTCCAAAGGGGATGACACCACTGGTACCACCCTTAACATTCACTGGGCATGGAGGGCAAAAAGTGATGACACCAAAGCCGAGACATCTACAGTATAAAAGTCACCATCAGCCTGGACTGCCCCAGAGGAAAAAAAGATGAGTACCCTCAGTGATGTGATTCTTCTCACCTGTTTTATCTGCCAGTGTTGCACCAAGGTGTATTTTACCCTTTCCGTGCCTGTTTGTCCCAGCTGACTATAAGGTGAGCCCAAGCAGATTCACATGTAGTTATGCTTATATGAAAAGTTAGCTAAGCTGAAGCCTGTCTGAAACATGTCTTGCCTGCTAAAGGTCAAAATTCAAGGTGATAAGCCTCGAATGAGGGACCAGATATTCATGGAGGGCAGCAGGGTTAGAAGGAGGTTTGACTGCAAGTTGAGGAAGTTTTTATCTACTATGGAGCTGGTGGAGACTTGCCACCACACAAAAAGGTCTGAAGGGTTTTTACTTTGAGTAGGAAGAGTAGTGCTACATGGTTTTGGTGGTTTTTTGGTGCCTGGGAAATGCTGTATTTGTACCTTAAAGACCAGTGTGGTGAACAATTTATTTTTGTTAATAACCTGAGGAAAAAAAAAACTCTCCCACCCAACTCACCATGTGAAAGAAGAGCACTTCTCAAGGGTGAAGAGAAATCAAACTATCTAGCTGATGGCTAATGCCTGCCTCTACCAGCAGTGCAGGCAGGCCCACACTTACCTGGCTCGTGCCCTGGGATAGCCAGCTTCAGCCAGCATTTCCTCATTAAGACAATGTGTTTGGGCTAGTTTACCCTGTCTTAAACAGACCTCATCCAGCAGCGTGTTTTCGCACCTGGCTCCATACCACATCTTGTGCCCCAGCCCCTTCCCAATGCTAGCACCAACAAGGTTGTGCAGCCCATCAGGTCAGGCACTCATGCAGCAGAAAACAACTATTTTTTGGCTATTTTAGGCATCAGGGGATCCTTCAGGATGCAAGGGCTGTGTGGGAGAACAGGGGCCAATCCATCCCTTGGCTCTTTGTCCTTCAGTCAGCCACAGCAGACCTTGGATCGCTTCAGTAAGGCCTCTATACCTTAAGGTTTGCTCCCTCCCTTCTCAGGCTGTGGGCTGGCCTTGGACATTCCCTTAAATTTGCTATGGCAGAAATAGATGGAAATTGCAAATACTGAGCCTGCTCTCATGAGCCCCCCACTCTAGTGGGAACCTGGAGCAAGCAAGTGCTTTAAATGAAGTGCTCACAGTTAGGTGGGATGAACCCATGCTTAGCAAATTCAAAGACTTTTCCCCAGTACTGCACTGGAAATATGAACTTTGAACTGAGGACCACATCGAGTGTCATACCAGTATGATCCGTCCCTTGTTTTTGCCTTAACTTTCAAAACTTTTATGGGGGAGAGTGATGACTTTTTTTGCCCATCTAATAATTTTCACCGTGACTCTGCCCATTGAAAATGCAATTCCTTCAGTTCTTTTGCTGTGTTTGTGGTTTAGAAAGATGACACTTGAAGTGAGTAAGAAAATCCATGGTACATTTGAGCCATGCTCATCTGAGCCATGCAGCCCCAAAGCTCAGCTAAATTGTCCGTAACCTCCCTCCTGATTTCTAGGCCAAGTTGGAGAGTCCAAGCAGCTTATTTTTGCCCTTGTGAGAGCACCCAACCACATCCACAGGTAGTGGGCAACCACCACCTCCATACGTATGATCATGGAGAGGAGGAAAAATAATGTGCAACTGATTTCCCTGCCATGAGGATGTAAATCAAGAGCATATCCCCTGAAATAAATGCCATGGCTTCATATACATAGGAGAAGATCCCAAGCCATCTTTTCCAAATATAAGCTGTTAATAATTTATGTCATGGTTGCTTTGGTAGTTTTATACTATCTTAATGAAGTCAACTCTTTGGGAAGTACCATTAGCTTTAAAGGAATAAAGGAGGATAAAAACAAGGGGAAAAGTGCTTTCTGCCTTTTGCAGACTGCTGTGTGAGATTAAAACACTTTCAGGCCCACGTCCCCACCTTCTCCTTTACTTTGTTGGTCTCTCACAGTGATGGTTAACACTGTTTGAGTCTTTCAGGATACTTTGACAACTTCTTGAAGAAGAGTCAGCAGTGATGGAGGGGGACAGAGAAAATGACAGGATGAGCAAGAATCTCTCTCTCGTTCATTCACCCCTCAGCCTGCAGTTTCCCCCAGGAGACTTCACCCTGGTGGAAGCAGCATTGCAGTGTGCCTTGGGGGCCTCTCTGCCACCTACAAGGCTCTTGACTCCAGAAAAACCTTTCCCACTCTTGCAGTGACCCCCAGGCCTCACTGAGCATGGGGGAGAACACTGCTGGCCACAGGAGAAGAGGAGGAGCATGACTCACCTCGCATCTCACTGCCAGCTTGGCCTCCCTGATGTTAGAGCAGGGATGCAGTAAGGGTAGGAGTGGGGCAGGCAGCAGCAGGGTGGGGAGAGTGGAGATGCAACAAGTCTGGGGAATGCCAAGCAGAAAGCATGAGTCGCATCCTGGCTACCACAGCAGCATCGGCTCCCAGTAACTGCAGCGGCGTTAGATTTGCAATACTAGGTAGGGGGAACCATCAATGCTCCTGGTACCTGGACCAGTCCTACACATACACAGAACTGCATCAGGCTTTGTGGGTCTTTCCTAGCAGATTCTGTCAAAAACAGAAGTTTTACCTGAGCACTTAATTACTTTTTCAGCTGTTTTTTCACTGACGTTGTTCTTAACAACACATCTGAACGTCCCAGAAAACCGCGTGTGCCATTCCAACTTTGTTGCATTCTTTTGGATTTTTTTGCTTTTATCTTGAATCAGTTCTATTATAAGAGTTTCATCTTCAGTCTTCTGCTTCACTTCACACTTGACATATATGGTTTTATTCATGCATTCAGCACTAAGGATTGGCTGAGGGACAAGCTCTGAAAAACAAGAGAAGGGACAGGCACATTTGAAGTGGTTTCTCCTTTTGTAAACCTCCATTATTAAGCGGAACAGAGAATTAGCCCCCAATAAGCAGTAAGAAAGTAACACCAGCTAATGAGACCAGAGAAGAACAAAGAGCAAATTAGACCTCTACTGCAGAAGTAACAAAGTAATAATAAAGAAAATGCAGTATATTAGCCTACATATTTGGCCTAGCAAAGCAGAGCTGTACCAAGATGTCTGGACTACTTTCAGGCTCAGCCTGGTTCACAGCCAGACAGCCAAGCAGGTGAGGGGAGGCAGCTGTGTTTTCAAGAGAGGCAGTGGATGGAAGGGACTCAGAGTTACAGCCCTCTCCAACTCCAGCCCCAATGGTTTGGTGCAAATGAAGTTGGCTCTGATCTGCCTGTGGCCATCAGGAGAGATTTCCTCTAAGGCAGGGCAAACTGCTGCTTACGATGTTTTTTGTACTACCAAAAGCACCCAGCTAGCACAGCAGCCACAGCATGAAAACCCGTCAAAATAGAAAACACAAAACTGACACCTCTTAGCTCTCAGTGAGGTTATGACAGAGAGAACTGATTTCTGTCTCTTTTTATGTCCTGCAAGCAGCTCCCTACATTTCTGTTCCAGATTCTCTATCACTGATGGCACTGAAAGACCCAGAGAAGCCTGCAGGGCTTTCCTCGACTAGGGACAACTGGCAGGGATATCAGATGGAAAAAATGTAATTTCTACCTTTTAGACCAGGTAAACAAAAATATGCCAGGGCCACCTCTATTTATAAGCAGCATAAGTTACTGAGAGCATAAATTTTAAAACCAACAAGGGTTGCTCATAGCAAATGCAGTCTAGGTTCATGCTGTGAGATCTGCAGCCACCGTCTCCTCGTTAAGCCCACTCTTCTGCAGGCTGTAACCTCTGGGAACACCCCAGTGTGAAACACTAGAGTCCAGGTCCTGGTGATGGAGTTGTGTGATGATATCTAAACTATTATTTTTTTTGAACAATAGTTTGTCCAACCCTAGTAACAAAGTATAATCTATCTGACAAATTATTCTAGCACCCGACAGTTTCTAAAGGATCATACTTCCAAAACTGCTATCAGAGGTAAGGTAACCTCTCTGCTGCACAGCAGACGAAATTATGCAGCACATAGCTAGGTTTGAACCTTAACCTGAAGTTGAACCCAGAACACCCCAATGACAGCTCAGTGGCTTAAAGCATGAGTAAGTAGCATCAAGCCCTGATGACTTCCTGAATCTGTAGACAGATTGCAATAACAATTCCTGAAGTAGAGAGACACCCTTAACTGCTCAGCAGTCCCTTAGCCACAGGGCCTTCCACAGCACAGAAATCCCGCTAAAACCATTCCAGCTGTCATTGCTGCCTCATCAAGTCATCATTTATGTAGGGCCAGTCGGTGCCCACAAACCCAAGAGGCTGGCAGAGGTGTGCATGCCGGCTGAAGAAGGACAGAGAAAAAAAATCATGCTCTTGCTAGGGAAAAAACCCCATGCTGCCCTACAGCTTGGAGGTCTGGAGAGGTGTCAGCAGCCATAAAGGAGCAGAGCAGCCATCTCCATCTTCCCTACTCATCCCAAATGCTTTGGGCTGATACTGTTCTGATTTCTTGGGACAAGATACAGCACGGGAACAACGGCTACTTTTGTGCTTTCAACCCATGCAGCTGCAATCCCCAGGTGTGTGCTTAAGTACGCTTTGAACAGCACAATCTTCATATTTGTTGTGTTGTGTTATGCTTTGCAAGGATAGGGTGCAGGAGTTGTCTTTCCCTGCAAATTCAACACCTATTGTGGTGTATCTCAGGTGGGGTGACTGCTGGCTATTTTTTTATGTTAGAGTAAAAATGGAGTGGGATCACATTGCCTAAATACAGGCATCTAGTGCCACCTGGGCTCCTGCGGTCTCCTCGGGAGGCTGGCAGATGCAACACAAGATGCTCACCTTGCTGGAGCAGTAGCTAGAGACCAGAAGTCCTAACTCAGTGCCCATAAAATTGTGCCAGAAGTGCACAGTGCATCAGCCACAGGTGTACCCCACATAGGTTGCTGCACTCCCACAAGAGGCTTCTGGAAGCAGGGTGCTGCTGGGGGCACAGCCCCACTCGCCTGCTGCTGCTCCAGCTCAGGGCCCGAGGGGTCCCGGCACCACACTTGCCCTGCTGCCAGCACCAACATGCTCATGGGTGCTTGCTGGGGCCCACGTAGAAACCAAGTGGCTGACAAAGAGGGGAGCCAGAAAGAAGTGGGGGACCAGAGGGCATCATTAGGAGCAAGAGAAGGGGGAAGAGTGGCAGGCTGCTGTCAGTGGCAGGGGGAAAGAGGTACATCTCACAAAAGTCCCCCCAAAACAGAAAGGTGGGCAATGAGTAGGAAAGGCTGTAGGAGAGAGCAGGAATACCAGGCTTTATTCAGCTATGCTGGAAAGGGTATGGGAACAGCAAAAACTCACCCTGAACAATTAGCATCGTGTCTTCTTCTGCCTTCAATTTTCCATCCTTCTGATAAACAGTCACCCTGTACTTTCCACTGTCCTCTTTCACCACCTGCTCTATTTGCAGAGTCCCATTTAGGAATACCTTACACCTGCACTGGTCCTTGTTCATATAGTACTTAACTTTCCCATCTTTTATCTGAAGCAACCTTGTTCTGTCTCTCAGCCATGATGCATCATATACACTCCCAGAAGCAGCAATGCTCAGAAGAACCGACCCATTCACAGCTGTGTAAATCCGCTTGCTGACGGAGCCTGTGTGGGGAAGCACAACCAGCCATCAGCATGTCTCCAGCAGCACCCGCTGCTATGCTCAGCAGCCACAGCAGTGACCCAAAAGGTTGTCACTTGCTACCCCTTCTTGAGTTGCCTAAGCCTCTCTGCATTACTGATGCTGTTTTCTGCCCCTGCTCCAAAGCGCCTCTTGATTGTTCATTAGACAAACGTCAGCCCCCAGTTTAATTCTGAGAGGTGAGGAAGCTAAGAGTCCAGTTTTCAAAAGCTGCTTTATACTCCATCTGACTTATCTAGAGTGATTTTGGATGCCAAGATTCATGGCTGCCCATGAACTTAACCCTTCCTGAAAATAAGGTCACTTGGGTGTGTTTTGCACATGACAGAGGCTGGTACCCAGAGTGCCCATGACTGTAAACATTACTGCGGGCAGCAAGAACACAAACTAGTAGTGGCCCTGGATGGTAGGGTCAGTTCAGCAATAACAGTGATGGCAATAATAATAATAATAATAATAATAAGTGGCCCACGTCAAGCAGTGAGAGAGTGCAAGGCACTGAGCTGGAGGCAGACCCAGTTCTGGCAGCTTGCAGTGCCCCCTCCTCACCCACCCCGTGTGCTTCACTGGAATACCTCCACTTGAGTTTCCAAGCACAGGATCGCAGTGAGGCAAGTAAGGTGGGGAAAAACAAACAGCTGACCACATCCTGTGAACTGATGAGGCACTGGAGACATTAAGAGATAAGCGAAGGCCAAAAAAATCTTTTCTCTTTGCAGGTCTCCTTTGATGACAGGTCCCCTCTCCAGAACAGGTAAGAGTAGGTGCTTCTCAAAGGTGCTGCCAGGACCACCAGTGGAGATGACGTACTCTTTGGGCTGAGCCTGGGTAGCGTGCCCTCTCCCCTCCAGGCTGCTTCAAGAACATCAGAGGCCCATCACTGGTAAACCAGGACTTCTGAGAGCAAAGGCCAGGCTGGATGAGGCTTTGAGCAACCTGGTCTAGTGGAAGGTGTCCCTGCCCATGTCAGGGGGATTGGAACTAGATGATTTTTGAGGTCCCTTCCAACCCAAACCATTCTATGATTCTATCATTCTATGAAAGCCTGTCAGGAGATCACTTCAAGTAAGGTACTGTCTCCACCCCACAGTGGCGGGTGGAAAATTTGCAGGAGGAGGTAGAAAAGTGCTCACAAGCATCAGGTGGGATAAGCTCCCTGATAACTGAACATGTGCTCAGAGCCACGGCTTATTTCATTTGTCATTTTCTTATGTTCATTCCTCTTCAATTTATAGGATAAAGCCGATCGGCAGGAGGGGATTTCTCTCCACATCACCAGATAAAGCTGATTCTGCTCTAATTTTATATATTTTAAGCACTTTTTCCCCACAGAGAGAAAAACTATGTTTATGCATATTTTTATTACAGTCCTTCATTCCTGGTATCTAGGACAATGATAAACTATATCACAGAGGGGAAACTGAAATCCAGTTGCTATTTCACGAAACTAACAATATTAGCGATAAAATCAAAGAATTAAAATAGCATGCCTCTACAACATGAAAATTAATACTGAAGTGGTGCGGCAATTCACCCCCAGTCTAAGGAGAGGCTGTTATTTCTCTGTTGCATTTCTTGCAAGGTATTTGACATATCTAATGAAATATTCTAAAATCAAGCTATCTATCAAACAGTCTTGGAAGTAGCTATCCTCCACATAGATGATACTACAGATTATACCCAAATATTTGAGCTCTGATACTTGTTTCCTCTCAGTCACACACAGTTATTTAGAGCTAGTAATATGATTTCTTTGTATAACAGATACTATCATTTTTTTTTTCTCTCTGGAAGTAAAGAAATCTAAGTTTTCAGGGCTAATTCAACAGCATCTCTATAGGCAAACCACTTAGACACATCTGTGAATGTTTATCCAATCTCCTTAGTCTTGCTAATGGAAAGCTGAGGATCCTGCGCACATGATGCTAAAAATCTGTTTAGCTAATGAAATGGTATTTCTGTTAATGCCAACTGAAATGCTCTCCAAGGGGCAGAAAGATGTGATCTGGCAGCATAGAGCTCACTTGCAGTCACATGAAAGAGTTAAAAGGAAAAGCTCCAATAATAAATTTAGAGAAGGAAGTCTTTGACACAAGCTTCCCATTTACGGGAATAATCTTCATTTCTTCTGGGGAAGATGTTTTATATATCACATATAAAACAACCCCCAACTCCTTATTTATCTATTATTTTTGTTTTGGAGGAAAAGAAAAGCATTAAACAGCCATACATACAATCTATAGCGGAATGAACAGGGGGGAAAAAAAATCTATGCATGATTGTATTGTCTCCATCTCTTATAACCTTCTCTAATCTATGAGTTAACATCTTAATTAAATTTTTAGATTAATATTTTAAAAATAATGAGACCAATAATATGCAAAATATAAAAGATGTATGTATTTGCTTGCTGTTTTCACATCCTAGGTTTATTCAACTCCACTGAAGACACTGAGATATATCACTTTTTCTGTTAATATTTATGGAAGAATATAATTTGCACTTGCAAAAGATTTCCTCATCTTTGATAAGAAAATGAAATTACATGAGATAATGCACCATGAACTGGATCTCTAATATAGTACAAGATACCTAGAGGGCAGAAAGAAAACTGCGTGCTGCCATTTCTCATTATACATGTGTCAAATTAAGGCTCATTAACTTAAAACCAAAACTGTTTACATCTTATTATTATAACTGGAATAGAAAACTCGATCCTGCCCTCCCCTCGGCCAAAAATTAAATCAAATAATAACAGCAATAACCCAAAGGTCTTCACTCATTGGGAAAGTGGAACTAGTTTCTTATCAGTAACATCCCACCAACTTGTAAATTGTTTAAAATGCAATTTTAACAGCACTAGCCCAAAAAAGCAAAAAATGCTAAGAAAAACTCACATTTTACACTGGGAAATAAAAGCAGCAAGCATTTGAGTAGGAAAATCCTCCTAAAGTCCATTTTCAGAGTGAAAAAAATCCAGTGTCGCCTTGTCTAATGATAGCTCCTGGCAGGTGAACGGATTTTCTGCTGTGAGCAAGCGGTCGTGGGACGTGTCAGTACAGCCCTTGTGCCCTCCTCCCCCGCTCCAGCTCTCACCCCAGCACTTCTCATTTCTAGCACAGGCACGAAAAACCATGGGCAAGAAATACCTCTCGATGGGGTGTTTTATGAGGATGGGGACAACGTACGGTGGCAAGGAAAAGGCACGCTAAAATGCAGGAATGGCCCCGAGGTCTATCTACCGAGCTATGCCACCATCCTAGTGGGATGGATGGAGTTTTTGAGGTGGGGGGGGCAGTACTGGGAATCCTTCTGCTCCCCCATAGCCTCAGCAGCAGGGAGGGGACAGCAAGCCCAGAACCCCCAGCAGGGAGCAGGTAGCTGGTGGCTGTTGGACAATGTGTAAAAAGGAGACACACTTCCCATGGAAACCAAGATCAGCTTCACATCAACATTTGATCTATGAGGGGCTGGCTGGCGCCACACAAAGGTGTCCTGCAGGCATGGCCAGCCATTTGAGCAAGCTGCGAAAGAGGGATGGGCATGGAAGGGGATGAAAACATTGCCTGGGCTCTAGCCAGAAACCAGCCCTGAAGCTGGTTGGTGTGGGAAAGATGGTGAGGAAAGATGCTGGTAGGAGACACGGGAGTTAGGTCCAAAACCACACACGAAGCTAATAAAATATTTTTTCCTGGTTCTGATATGAAACAGTTCGGGTGGTGAGGATTTTGAATCGTATCATCCCCAGCACAATCCCTCTGCTACAGCAGCCACTGAAATCTTCCAGCTTTTTATTGCAGATGTAGAACCAAGACAGAAGACAAACTGTGGCACAGGAGGTGTACAATATTAGATAAATTTTGTTCAATCTTGCCATTCTTCTTCCTTAAAGTTATAGGAAGGTCTTGCAAGACGCCTCCCCTTCTCTAGCATCACCATCTTTTAACTGGTACTAACACTGGTAAAAGCTACCACGTTCTGCACGAAAGAAGAAACGGTTACCTGAGGTAAAATGCACTAAGGTCACAGTATTGCTGCCTCTGCACATCGCAGGAAAACCTAGCTTTTCTTCCTTCTTTTTGTTATTGTTTCCTTACAAAGAACCTACAAGGGAGGCACATGCAAAAGGAGAGAGGAAGCAACAGCAGCAAGACAACATTGCTCTGCCTGACCTCTACCCTCTGTGAAGAATAAACAAGCCAAGGGCAGGGGCTGCCGTGCCCAGGCATCTCCCCAGACAAGTAGACTGTGCCAGAAGCACTGGCCATGGGGGGCTGTGGGGACCTCTCTCCCCAGCCATGCTGGCAGGGACGTGCAGGTTCTGCACACTTGGACACATCTGCTTCCAGCCCAAGTGCCTACAGGACTTTGGGCAAAGGCAGCAACCCTGATCTCTCCTGCTTTTTTATTTTGCTGGGGCCATGAAGCAGAGCGGAGGGAGGCCCCCGGGCATGCTGAAACCACTGCCCACACTCTGCTCAACCTCACTCGCTTCTTCCTCAAGGCAACATCCATCAAAGCCACCACCTGTTTTCAGCGTACCGCTGCTCTTTGTCTGTTTGTCGGCACGCTCAGATTGCAAACGCGCTAGGGCAGGGACCGTCCCTCTGCTCTGTGCATGCAGAGAGCCTGCTGGGTGCCATCCTGCTTGCTGGGTACTGCCAGCCGTGGAGCTGCAAGCAGAAGCTGGGACTGGTAAAATGAATACAAATGGAAAGATGCGTGTGTGTGAAGGTAAAAGAGACAAGAGAGTAAAGCTCCACAGCAGCAGAACAAGGCTTAAAAGAATGCCCTGTATTCATAATGAAGGCTGCTACTTCCAGTTAATCAAGTTTGTCATGCCCAGATGCCTGCGCTCTTGTGAAATCACAGCTGAAATGACTCAGACTGGAAGCCCCTATGCTCCCACAGACCAGTTATAGCATATCAAATGTGGAATCCTTTTTTGTGTTAGAGCAACAGGTAGACAGGAGAAAGAAACCACTCCTAAAGGATATAAAAGGTCTGTTGAAAAACAAGTTTGCTGTGAGCAGTGAAGATGCACTCAGGAGAAGTGGTCAGGGATCAATAGCTGATGTACCCTCTGCATCACAGAAGTGACACCAGGCCTCGGTATTTCTCAGTACTTGGGTGCACGTGCACAAAATCAACTTGCTTAGAGATTTTTGTATAAAAAAAGCACAGCTGAGCCACCAAAGTGGTACACCACCCACCTGCAGCAAGGATTCCACATGAAATCCTGGCATATGCGTGGTCCATCCCACCAAGCAGCCCCTTTTCTAACCAGCACTGGAAATGTCCTGCACCATCAGACCCAGCTGGACAAGGAGAAATCATCCTGTGTCTCTAACCTCAGCCCTCCTGCCAGAACTGTGGAAGTGGCAATATCCTTGCGGCTTTACCCTCCTTGTCTTGAAGAACAAGACAATGTCATGCTGCAGTCCTGACCAGGCTTCAATCCCCATTTTAGAAGAAGGAAGGGATTTTCTGGATGTTGCTGGGAGGGAAGCTCTGTAACTCTCTGCACTGGTGCCTCTGTTTCCCCCCAAGGGAAGTCATTAAGGAGAGGGTGTCTGAAGGCAAATGGGTATCTCTGGAAAGCACAGCAGCTTTGGGCTACCTCCACAGAGGAGCTCTGGAGGCCAGCATGTACCTTCAGCAATGCAGTATGAGGTGCATGTTCTGAAAACAGCTACAGAAGGGAGCACTGGCAGCACAGCCCTCTGCACCCACCAGCGATGCTCCCAGGGAGCGGGACAGGCATGGTGAGGAACATTTCTCGCAGCTGTGTGCTGCCACAGCCCAAACACTGTCCCAGGTGAGGTGAGGTCGGCCAGGCCTGCAGATAACCATGCCCTCACACTTTTCTGCTGGCTGCAGACACCCTCTCTCCTACCTGTTACACAGGAAATAAACACTGCTCGTCTGAACACAAGCCAGCTAGAAAACCAGAGCACCGAGAGAAAAGAAGATGTCTCCCAGTATGGTGGTGCAGGACCTGTCTTTTAGGCCTGTCAGCCCACGGTGGAGGGTCCCTGGCCTCTGGTTAGCCCACAGCATTGCTAGACATCTCCATCTCCTGATGCACAGTAGAGGAGAGGACAGAATGCAGCTGTGACAATGGGGTGTTTCTTTGCAACCGCTGCTATCTCTGCAGTATTGTTTCCACTGCAAAAGCCACAAAGTGCTATAGGCACATACATTTGCTTTTGTTGCTTGCTCTCTCTTTTACTCTTCTGTTCTTTGTAATACAGTAAGCAGTTTCCACACAGGGAATGTAAGTATCATGCTTACATTTCCATGTAGAGGTGACAGACTCCCACATATCTGAAGGCAGCAACTCAAGAGACAATACGTAGCTGTTCCCAGCTCTAAGTCTTCAACCTAGTGATAAGCCAATAAACATTCATGCCTGAGGCTAATAAGAAAAGAGAATGTTATTAGAGCCAGAAAAGAAAGAGTACAAATACACTTAGTGTGCTATTCTCAGGAAAGTCAGCATGCAATAAGCCAGTGTGGATTTGTAGCCCACCTGATAATTTGCACTATCTCCTCTGATATGAAGCTTAGGTCGTATTAAATGTCATTTGTATCGGACTCACTACCCTTCCCTGAAAGTACAGTCAGACACTCTGCAGTCACCACCACCTGACACCCTCACCGTGAAAGATGACAAGAGTATTGCAAATTCACACCTCTAAATTTCTTACAAAGACAGGCCCTTATTTAAGCACAGTTTGTGAGGTGAACAGCAAACATGATCTTGATTGAAACACCAAATGGGCAATATCATGTGGAGGGAAAGCTTTGAATAAGGCTTGGGAGCAATCCCGAGTTTGTATCCTAGCCTGCAAGAATCACAGCTGGGCTCTGTCTGGGTTGCCCTGGGTGCTAGCTGAGGGTTTCATGATGGCACATTCCCTTCTCCTTTAGTATAACTTCACAGAATGGGGTGAATTGTAGGTAGTGGCTGCAGTGGGGAAGAAGCAAAGTCAGCCCTGGCAGGAGGAGTTGCCCCTGCACTGTGCAATGCCTAGGAACTGCTGGCTTGCATGTACAGTTTCAGCTATTTGGCTGATGAAGGCAACGTATCCCCTCCTCTTCACTTCTGCCTTACACAGAGCCAAGAAAGGAGGAAGTCCAGCTTGAGTGAAGGAGTGCAAATATGAAGATGATTAACTCAAAATAAAACTTTGGCCAAAGGTTTGGCGGGGATGCTGACTCAGTGGCTTGGAGCCCATTACGTGCAAACTGAGAGCACTGCTTTGCCTGTACACAGTGGAAATATTCCAAAAGTAGTGACACATCCTGTCAGTGCTGAATTGGCTGTTTGCAGAAACTGTTTCACTTTTCTCAAAACAGAGGTAGATGGAAGTTTTCAAACCATGATTAATGCAGAATAGTCCTTGGCTGATTATTTCAAGATAAAGAGTTCCCTTGTGATGTCCATAATACCACATTATCAGCCCCAGGTGTTCTCTCTCTCAGGATCATTTTCTTCTTTTCTACCTGTGTGCCTGTGTCAACAGCCAAACCTCACAAAAGATGCCCAGTTTAAGTCTGGTCTGAAGGAGTGTGATATCTTTAGACTAGAGCAGTCTGACAATCTGCAGTTCACAACAATGACTGAGGCTAGAGCAGATGCCAGCATCCCATCAGATAGTTTTTCTTGCAAACGGTGCACTTCAGTCTTGCTTATCTGACACCAATTTCCATTATCTATAATGATTGTAGATTTAGGATCTAACTTTCAATATCTTATTCTAGTAATTTCATTGACACTACTATTGAAAAACATGTTGTGGTCCAGGCAAAAGTTTGTTGGCACAATGCAGTCAATCTGCCTTCCTCACACAAGCAGCCAGAACAGAACACCCTCTTCCAGTCTTAGCAGTGATAAATACATGAAGCCCTGTATTAACTACAATATGCCCCTTCATCACCAGAGAGGGGATGGA